TCATAGATCCCTTAAAGGAACCCTTTAAGAGAGGGTCTAAGTTGAGGCTTAGAGCGTGACAGATTTTTTCAGGCTCGGGATTCTGGGTCCCAGAGCCCAGGCAGGATCCAAAAAGTCGATCCCTTAAAGGGGATCTATCGGGTTCTTCTTGGGATCCATAGGGTTCTTCTAGGGATCCATAGAGTTCTACTAGGGATCCATAGGGCTCTACCAGAAGTCTATTGGGATTTAGGGTTTAGAGTTCCCTTCAGAGGGTTCGTAGATGGCACCCTTTGGCATGACCAAATTAGGGTTGGGGGATCTACGTTTCGGATCATCATGATGTGGGTTCAGAATCGGCCATTCCTTCCGGGGTTCTTGTTCTGAGATCCTTCCGGGGGTCTACGCTCAAAACCTCTCGACTTCGCCGATTCTCATATGCTCCTGCGCTTTAACTCTACCACTTCTGGGTCTAGGATTCAAGGCTTGGGGTTTACGGTTTAAGGTTTGAGGTTTAGGATTTAAGATTTCGGGTTCAGGGCTAGGCCAGAAAACCCGCGCCTAAACCTACGGACCTTAAAGCGTGTTTTCTCGTCTCGGTCTCCTTGATGGCGCCCAGTGCCGTGAGGAGAGCGAAGGCCACGGGATCGGGCCTGAGCCCCCATCTCTCATCCGAGGCTCGGTGGTTTAGGGCTCCCCTAAACCCATGCTTCTTCTAAGAGTGGGTTTTGGGGTTTAGGGCCTTTAAAGAAACCTCTAACCCCTAAATCCTAAACCCCTTTAGCTTGCATCCCTTGATGCTTCCAAGAGTTGAAGAGTGTGTGAAAACACCCCCGCTTCAGATAGGGTCCGGAAGGTACCCTAAGATCTTTCTTGCAGGGTCCTAAGTCGAACTTCTGAAGAATATAGGGTACGGCTGTGAACATATAGCTACACATGTTAGCAGCACAATCGAGCTTGAAAACAAGGCTTTAACCCAATCCAAACCCTAAACCCACGACATGAACCTTAAACTTCTTGCGCTGATGCAGCTGTTTTCAACATAGGTGTGCCACTGTTGCATGTTGGAAGGAGCAGATGTTTAGCGTCGTGAAACATCTGTCTGAATCTATCTGCAACTGTACTGGGCCTCCCGTGCTTCTGCAGAATTGATTCCCTCTGTTTTTATGGGGTCCAAGTGCTGGTCAAGCTTGAGAGCATGAAGGTGTCTGGGGCGCTGGCAGACCCATGGCATCGTACTTCTGCTGCAGCTGGGCCTGTCGTGAAGATTCCAAGCGTTTCCGCCTTACAGTTTATCTATGCCTGCATGCAAGGGTACCGCTCCATGTGCCGAGATTTCTGCAACGTTGAGCTTGCCATTATGGCACGAGGCTTCTTTCCAAACCCTTAAAAGCCCAAACGCAGTAACACCACGTTTGAGATGCCGGCATCCGGCTTCGGCAGAGGCTGAAGGCAAAGGAAGTCAACCTCGCGAGAGTAATAGCAACACTTATAAGCATAAGAACAAATAGTAATACACATAATATTTGTAGTAATCAATAATAAAAACAGGAGTCATTGCAATGGGTATAATGTTGATTATTACTATCAGTTTTAATAATTTACTATATGCTTTATTCAATTCTTATTTAAGCTACTATATCTTTATTGTATAGGTCCATATAACTCATTTTGTAAGTTTCCATACTAATAATCAATCCGTATCCTTGTTATAGTGTATCGACAAGAACCTTCATTTTCGAACCTGCAACATGTCTTGTCTTCTATTTATAGAAACCTGTGGTGGAAAATAATATGAGCATTATGACCTCCGAGATCATTGTAAAGATAATAGTAAATGCGATTTGAGGCTTGGTGACTTTGGGGGGGTACCATGGGGAGTAGCTGCTCGGGGAGAGGTTCCGAAAGCTCACAAACCCGACTACGCCAAAACACTTCCACGGTTTAGAATTTAGGGTCACGCTACACCCGAAACCGGCCCGAAACCCACTAAACTTGGAATAGAAGGTTGGAAGGTTTCATTTGCCCATGCTTGTTCAGGAGATTGGGGCACTGGACTTGCTAGGTTAAACTCGAAGCAAAATAGACTTGTAAGCCCTCGTCACCTTCGAGCCGTTTCCGAGGACCTGCATGGCGTCGGCGCCGTCACCACATGTTCTAAGTCTGGGACCAGGTTTGGGATGTACGTATCAACGATGAGTTAAAATAAGGTCGAGCACGTGTTTTGCAGGCTGAAATTCTCGGGTGGCCTCAAAGGTTTAGAGAAGAAAGGGTCGACATTGATCCGGCTGTGCTCGGTCTTGATTGGGCTGCTGTATGCGAGATGCCAGTGGCAAGCGTTATGACAGCAATTCAGCTGACCTGTAATCCTCACTTACTTCCCTCGTGGAAGCAGTAGAAGTATGGTTGCCGGTCGCACCTTGTGGAAGACTTCGGGTGGGTTTAGTATTGGCTATTTTCTTGCTGCTGCTGCTGCTGCACCGAATTCACAACTTGGGAGCCGAACACACCGTCGTGCACTTGGATTGAGCAAATAATATCAGACATGTGCTTCTCATTACGCCTGGCGCTTACGACTGCTGCTGGTTGGCGCGTCCTTCCTGCAGCAGCAACCAGCGATTACTGTCATGGCCACCACCCCGACGAAAACTGCTGCTGCTGCTGCTGCAACCGATACTGCTACTGATTCTCAGACTGCTACTGCTGCAACACCAAGTACAATTACTAGTACGACTAGGACTAGGACTAGCTAGTACTTGTGCTAGTGCTAGTAGTAGTACTAGTACTGGTACTGGTACTAGTAGTAGGCGCCCCCCCCCCTACCAACTACACTTGCTTAAAACCATGTTAAGAGCACATCCGTTTTACTCGGTATTTACGGCACTTTCGGCATGTATGATCATCATAAGAGCCTCGAAATCCACTTGCCGAGTTTGCTAACTCGACCTCTTGATTTTGGACTTTTTTCTTGGGTGGGTGGGGGGGGTGGGGGGGGGATAATGACG